TTCCTGCTTTGCTCGAATTAAACTTCAAATGAATCTCAAAATTGCGATAAAATTTCTTCTGTCACTTTTTTATTTATTCAATTAAACGGGAAGATATCCCTTTACAATTGAATGACAAAAGAGAGAAGAAAACGTTTTCAAAATAAATTCAAATCTTGAAAGGTTTGAAGCAAATTATGCTTTACAGAGATGGATTGCGATCAAATCATATTTTATAGATTTTATAGATTATACTTAGTATATCGGACAACTTCTTTCGTATTACACATGAAACGGATCCTTCATCACGTCAGAAATACGTGGTAGAATACGACCTCAAAACAGGTTCCTCGCGTGATTAGAATACGCAAATTTTACTTTCCGTCCTACTCGCTGAATCGCCTCATTGCAGCGAGAACTTTCTTTTTTTCGGCCATAGAAAAGAATTAGAAAGAATTAAGATTTCACGTTACAAAGATTTCGCGCACGTTCCGGAGGATTTCGCGCGAGAACCATCGCGAGAATCGTCGTGGATGAAAGCGAGGTGAATCTCGCAACGTTGTCGTTCCATTTACTCGGTTAAAAAGAAAAAGATTAATGCAATGACTATTAGTGGGAGATTAACTCCGTTACTTAGTTTTTTTCCTCCATCGCGAGACAGCGTCGAATCTCGGACGCGCAGATCCATCGGTCGGGAATAAGAATTTCGACACTTCGACGACGCGACTCGTAAACTCACGGACAAAGTCCGACATCGGTCGCATCACGCGTTACGTACTCATAAATACGTATGGACTTAAATCCGGCACAATGCATGTAACGAGGATGTTGTGACAGCAACGGCATTTCAATGTCAACTCATGATCCGATTAAAGAAGAAAAATCGACGTGGTTGCGATCGCACACTTTGGATTAAGTCGGTCGAAGGACCCTCGGTCGTGCGCTCGATAAATGATAAATGTCGAAACGACGCAGCAATGTCAGTGTTGCGAACGTTAGTCTCGCTTCGGTGATCTCTATCTTCCGCGGCGAGTACGCTCGCTCGCGCGCTCGTCCAGGTAGATCGTGTCTCGCGTGCCCGTAACTTCTACTTACACAACGCGAAACAGGAAAGCAGATCCGTTTTGAAAGAGCGCTCTTTATATTACGGCATCACGACGACGGATTTTGTAGTACAGAGTGTCTGACAATTCACGATACACTCGTTGTGGGCAGGTAGAACTCATCAAGCTGAACATTAAATTCCTCCATCATTTCGCAAACTATGCAAAATTTTAAGTTGCCAATTGAAGAAGATCGGTGCATTATCGTGCACCGATCAATCTAATTAATAACTAAAAATTATACACTAATCTAATTAATAACTAAAACTCTGTGTTCAAGTAGAAAAAACGATCTTTTCCTAGCTGGTAACAGGCGAGGAATTTTAGTTTTAAGCGATGCTTGTTTCTCCAGGAACTGAACGGTGAAATTACACGGAGAGAATTTTATAGTAAAAATTACTATAGGATCTTGCAACCAAGGAATAGATCGATATCATGCAATAATTCATTATCCTTTCATTTCATATATACTATTTATATTTTAGGAAAAGTAACATGCTTGAACATACTATGTTACTAGTAAAATTTACTATGTTTCTTAGCAGGATAGATCTTACTAACAGTCAATTCCTGGAATACCAAAAATATAATAAAATTGAAATTTAAAAATTAAATAATTTGAAAAGTTTTTCATTCAGTATTGTTTAATATACTAGCATACAATGGCAGATTTCGCCATTATAAGTCATCTATCGCGCGTGATCATTCATCAATCTTCTCTAATTAACTCAAAATTTTACATCGTCATTCGTGAAATAGTAGAACCATTTTGTGTTTTGTTTAATGAATTCTTTCTGCACACAACAGATGTGTCATGAATTGTCAGACACACCCGTTGTATGCATATTGTTGCACCCCGAAGAGAATCGCGTCGTGATGTGCGACCGGCCTGATTGTGAACCGGTTCGCGCCGAAGTCGCGCGGCCCAAATAATGGCGAATATAAATATTCGTAGTGTAAGAAGCATCTTTACGTCTCTAAGTCGCATTATTAATGCGAGGACGCGCTGTTGAGATGGTAATATTCGCGTGTAACGCTACAATCGTCTTGAAGTATTCCGGGAATTCTTACGAGCGCATTCTTAAAAGATAGGAAATCTCGTGAGAAAGCAACAGAACCGTAAAGGCACGCCGAAGAATTAAAATTCATGTAACACGCTGATGACCGTATCCGGTCTCGATTAAACGGTGTTCCTTTATCACGACGGGTTCTACGGGCTTCACGCGTAGTGCACGTAATAACTATGATTCCAGCTGACGAGTAATCCACGTTACCGCACAGTTCATTGTGAACGAGTTATTATAATTGCGTCAATCCGCATAGATGATAAGACACTTTTACGTCTCTTGAAAGTACTTGATCCTTGGAGCTTTGATATTTTTCTACCTTCTCTTACGTACACTAAAAGAAAAAATATCTGAAAAACAAAAATATACTTATTTATAAAAATATATTTATAATATTTGGCATTTCTTAGATATTTTTTCTTTCGATATATATGAGAGAAATAATAGAAATTTATACAATTGTTATAATAGAAATTATAACAAAATTTTTGTAATCTTAAATCATACAGAATTACGAAATACTATATATTTGTTTAAAAATGTTGCAAACGTTTGACTTTTTATTACAGAGTTATTCTAATTAGTTGAATATTTTTTCATATCGTATATAACAAAAATACAGATTGTGTAAATCGTCAAAAATTTACTATCTTTATAGTTTTCTCTTCCTATCTCTTCACTGCTCTCTTTATTTTTTCTTCACTCTCTTTTCCCCCAATTTTCTTCCACATCTTGTTAGTTTCATTACTCCACTCTATACTTCCTGCTAACTGCATGAAGTAATTCCTCTGACTTTTTTTTCACTTCCTATATGCTTCCTTTAGCTTACATTTCCAAGAAAGAGTTTTTCATATGCTATAATCTTTCTCTTTGCATTTCGTCCTTCTTGATATACCTGCCCTACCAGTCCTTGTGTCATCTTTCTTCCGTATATTTTTATTTTACTTCCTTATCCTATCCGATAATCAAACATTTCCTCTTCATTTCTTATATTCTTCTTGTTCTTCCTTCATCCCTTTTGTATTTCTGTTTTCTATAACTATTTATTATACATCTCCACTATCGACAATTTCTTCTGCATTACCATACTCACTTAAGCTTGCCTGCATTACCTTCACTACTCTAATTACCCGTTCTTTATGATGCCATAACCTCTGTTACCTATGTATTTTTTCCGCCCTGAATCCTGTTTTCCTACCTAATGCCTTGTTTCGCCTTCACTTACATACTATCTACGTACTTATTCCTACATAATTTCTCCTATCTAATCTCCTATACTTAATTCAATACACTAAAATCATTCCAATCTCTCGCATCACGTAAATTAAGCATTCATACACTTGTACACTATTTAATCAAATCCCAGTTTTAATATAGTCTAATTTTACAAGAATATTTTAAAAAGAAATATAATTTTAACGTAATTTTTACTATAATATTTTGTATGTATTGTTTGTATTGTATTGTAAGTATTTATAATACGTATTTTTACTATGATATATAATATGTGTGAAATGTTATCTCCGAATATAACAAAAAAATATATCTGTCTGTAACTGAAAGATTTTGCACTTTGAGTAAAATTGTTCGCAATTATGCAAAAATTATCCAAACGACATGAAGTACGTCTCGAGAAAAATGAAGATAAAAATTTGATACATGAAAAGTATAGATAGCATTGAAGTTTCTTGCAATCGTTCATAAAGTCAAGCACCGTCAATTGTCTTCTCTTTAATAATCATAGGCAATTTTAATCCTTAAAAAATGGGTGAAAAAATTGTAATTAGTAAAAAATGGAACCAGTAGGAAGTAAAAATTATTTTTTAATTAATTTTAGACACTCATAAGGCTTGAATCTTTTTTATTTTATGTAGAAAGACGCATGGACTACTCATTAGTAAAAAAAAAAAAAACTAAAAAGTCGTAATTTTGTAGGTTGAATCATTTTTACGTAACTACAACCAATTGACAATCGAACAAACAGTGAAAGTGTTCGATAAGTACAGTTACGAGATAATCGTTGAACTTTTTTACTGTGTCGCAATGTTGCTCATGTTTCCCATGATTACATGACCACTGAAAATGCTCGAAATGTCATTCGTTTAATATTTCGTTCACGGTTGATATAGCATTTCACTTACACGTATAACTTATTATTATTCCGAAAATATACGGGAGAACGGTTTTCCTTGATTCTCAACATGATCTATATGACCGTGTCCGACATTTCAAAAAAGATTTAAATATACGTGATGCCATTTAGCTTTCACGGCATATGTATACACGTGTCTAGTATGCCTCGAAGACGTACCCGCTTTAAATACGACTGGGCATGAGAATCGGTCGTAAAACGTGAAGACCGTTCCGTCGTCTTCTTACGAAATGCGTCGGCGTATTTCGGATTACGACGAAATCAAAGCCAGGTAGCCGCGCACGGGGATATCGGCCAATATGTAATAAATTTTCCCCACGGCGAATTTATGGGAATCCGGTCTACTTGCGTGTCTGCCGAAGTGAAATGGGAATTCGACGAACGTGTAATCGCGTTTAACGTCTCCCTGCATTGTCTGTCATATTTACCAAAATAAAAACATTCATTGGAAATACAGTCTAGAGAGAGATATGTGATAATTTTTAAACAGTATTAGTATTAAAATATTACATGATTTTTATATTTATTGAAGAAGCAACCTTAAACAAGTCCTAATTTGAATTATCAATTAAATACTTTTGTCTTGATTACTTTTATCAGAAGTGAACATTGTAAATGTAAGAAAAGGGCTATGTGAATTCTATGTAGATTTCTTTGCATCATACCTATATCTATATGTGGAAATTATTTTTGTTTCAGAAGCCAATCTAAGGCTTCCTACTTGGCTTACAGACGTGAGCGCGGTGCTCCTGACAGCGAGGGTAGTTACAAGAGAACAATGTCGCCGACTTCTCGACTGGACGATTGGCCATCCCCTAGAGATCACGACGATCCTGTGCTTCTGCGTGTCACGCCACATCATGCGTTGCAACAGCAGCAGCAGCAACAGCACCATCATCATCACAACAATCATCACCAACAACAGCACTCCGATCTTTCCAAATCGCACAGCGTGGACGCTCTTCATCATCGATTGGATGAGAGGTCTTCCCAGCAGCAACAGCAACAACAGCCGCAACAACAGCAACATTCTACGGAGGTGAATAAGCTCTCGCACGAGCTCAGTAAAAAGCTCCAGGCTAGCGACGCGAGGTCTCGCGCCAACAGCGAAAACAACAACAACGACAACCTCGAGGACCGCCATCAGCATCATCATCATCATCATCATTATCCGGAGAAGAGGCATCCGGAGAAAAGACACGAGTACGAACAGCGCAGGGAGCGACTATCGCCGCAGAGCGTGGAGGTCCTCAACGACAGGAACAGGCAGCTGGAGCGAGAACGTCGGAAATTGGCAGCGAGCTGCGAGCCCCTACCTCAAAATAGAGAGGTGAGATTATCTCCGGATATTTACCTTCTCATAATAGCGACATTTGCGTGTTTTTCGCGCCTCCGCGGTCCACCTATTTTCGCACCTACAAATATAGCAATGTCAAGGACACGTGGCGGATTCAATTCAAGCCTCTGTAACATTCGGTTTCTTGCTGCGCTGATTCTGATCTGTTCGGAACTTCACACCGTCGTTCATCGTAGTTGTTGTTATTCTGTCGGTCCAACGTTCTGCGCTTTTTCACCGCTCGATTCGTGCGTTTTAAAGCCCAATACACCCGAACTCTGGTCGTCTCGTTGTATTTTAATTACTTAATTTCACGTTTATTGTGTCTCTTCTCGATTTACGGGACTGAAACGGCTGTTTCCAGAAGCAGCTACGAGAAATTGGCGGCGCGCTGCCAATCACCGGCGACGACTTTATCCGCGAGAGGAGCGCCACGATCGAGATGACTTCGCAGAACCTCGAGTTGCTGAATCGCCGTAACGAGAAGAGAATGAGCGGCGCGATGACGTCGAGCGACGCGATATCCACGTACTCATTGAGCACCACGACGACGTCGATCGCCACGACGATGATGACGACTTACGACAACGGTTGGTCGCGGGCCGGGCACGAGACGCAGAACTCAATAGAAACAACGATCTTTCCCGACAGACCACCGCCTCCGACGAGCTCGCCGCCACGGTCGCCGGATAACGTCGGGGGCGCGAGCCCGCGAGGAGCTATTCCAAGACGGTCGGGAAGCTGCTCGAGCTCCTCTTCCTCGGGAAGATCTATCGACGCCCGCATATCGCCGCGGACCTTGTTGTCCAGATCGTCGCTGAAGAACTCCCTGGACTCTCTCGTGCGGAACGAGACGCGAATCGAGTGCGTTCCCAGCAACAGGAAAGTCTCCAGTCCAACTCAGACAGACAACACGGGTTCATGGAATAGATCTAACTCACCGAGCCGGGTGACGATGAGTCAGGCGGGCTCCGAGGCGGAAGTGCAAGCGGAAAGGCCCTCACCGTCCTCCAAGTTCCGCTCTGCCGGCAGATCACCTGCCTCCTCGATCTCGAGCGTCTCCAAAGCCTCCTCCTCGTCCTCCCCGCGAAATTCACCGGTGGACGAGGACAAGCTGTCGCCGATGTCATCGCTCTGCGTGTCACCTCAACCCGGCATCGAGGGGCTGACGTTGGTACAACGCACCGAGGTCGTGTTACGGGTTAACGCGGCCACCAGCGACGCCGCCTCGCAGACCGACACCTTGGAGGACACCTTGGAACAAGACTGCGCAGGCAAAGTGGCGCGACCGTTTTCAGAGTCCAGGAAGAAATTACCGGAGGAGATCGAGTGCGAGGAGCTCAGCAGAGACCTGGCCAGTCAACTCAGCCCCAACGACAAGCTGGTGCCTATACTCGGTGAGCAAGTCTGATTTTAATCGTACTGTCTCAATTGCATGAATAATGGCCCGGCGGGTATCATCCGTGTGACGGTTTCGCTATCCATCCCGTTACTGTCGTCATTAATAAACGTCAATGTACTTGATACACAATTAGATAAGTCATTCCATTTTTGAGCCGCGTCCGTTAACGCAGAACTCGCGCTGACATGTTTACGATCTATCTAGTTGCCGTTACACTCACGCGTCTTGCGCGCGCGCATGTGTGTGTCACTGCTTCACGCGCTCGCGCGCAATTATCATCCGGGATAGCGTGCTGTCGTCCGTTCGGGAGCGATGACCCTTCATTTTAATAAGCGCTAATTTAATCAACGACACGACTGCGTTATTCAATTATGCACTCCCGCTGCCGCGATATTCGATGCAATCCCTTGTCGCATTATGGCTTCCATGAGGCGCGGAGATCCCTGAAGCGTGAAACTAAGCGAACGAGCAAACTCGTGCGCTCACGTGTTCAGAGAGCACCTGATGATGTCGTTTTATTTATTTTCGTTTGTTTGTTTGCTTCTTATCAGTTCCAGCGCCGGAGCACAAGAAACCCACCGACTACGTTTCCGGTCTGTTCAGGGTGGAGGCGACCTTGCAGCCACGACCGAGGCGGCGGCTCTCCCTGGAGGAGTCAACGGCCTCCTGCGGCGAGGACGCGGATCCGGACGATAAAAAGTGGGTTTTTCGAATTGGAGCCCGGTTAATTAAGGCGTATTTATGAGCCGGCTCGCGCGCTCGGCTCCGATATCATGCGCGCGCGTGTGAGCGCGCGTTGTCTTCGTCCGGCTGCACGAAGGATTAAAGCGAGATTGTTGTTATGGTCGGGGCAGATAAGCCCCCGTCGTAAATATAGACCAAACGCGATAATTGATAGTTTTCATGGCGCTCGCGAGTGCCGGATTTTGCGCTATTAATCAAGCCGCATGCCTCGAAATCCGAAGGCGCTCATTACAAGTGCAAATCCGCGATTCTCTTCACCCGACTTAATCGGTCCAGAAGGCACCTTGTAATTTTAATGAACGAACGTACGAGGCCGCTTTTTCCACAAAGTCCCGCGACTGTTATTTCAATTTTTTCGATCTCACGAGATCTGACGCGCTCGCGCTCCGCGTGTGGTCGCCGTCGCGTGTAAACTAATCCGTCGAGGAGTCCTTTTTCTTTCGGTTGGCAGACCGCCAAATACACATGTTTACCGTACACGCGATATCCCCGGAGTAGAAAGGAAAATGACACGTATTTAAGACAGGATCGCGTGTAATTAATTATTTTTTTTTATTAATTATCGTGTTTAACTGAAGATTAATATGAGTCTACTCTGTGGAAAGCCGTTTAATTCACAATTTATTTCAGCAAATTCAATCGAAGACTGCTCGATTGAACCTAGTAAATTTAATTAAAGGTTGTTTACTTGATTAACATGAGCCAATTCAAGCGATTTATTCGGAGATTGAACGGTAACGATTGATATAACCAGTGCGCTCTCAACGTGCGTCCTACTTAGCGTTTCTCATATGGAAAAAGAGCCTGCTTGAATTGACGTGACATGTTTGGTTAAGCAAGTTTTGATGAAGATAAACAGACCTTTTGGTTATTACAACGAAATATTCTTGTGTCCAATCAGAACATTTAATTGTATTACTGGCTAGAGTTTGGTTACAACGTATATAGTGGTACATCCAAGTGTCTGGTTATTATGAGTAAAAAGAACGCAAAAAAAGAACATAGTTAAATTAACGTGACATGTTTAGTTAAATAATTTTTGTTGGTTAAACTCAGAATTTCAATAGAATTTCTGGTTGTTATAATCACATATTCTGGTATTTAACGTTAGTTGTACCATAAATAGGCAAAATGTAACAGATCTATTAATTGGAGAAGTAAAATGTAGCGCGTAAACACAATGACGACTCACAATTCAGAAGTTCTCAGATTCGAGCCCCACTAGGATAAAGATGAATTCTTCTTTAATACAGCAACAAATCAATTAATTTCAAGCAAAATAATCATATATTACACTTAAAACAAACAACTTTCAGTTAAGAAATTAATAAAATCTAGTAAGAACTGTGAATATAATTTTATCATTGTAACACAAAACTTGTCTGGTTTCTTTCACTAGAACGCACGTAACCAAATTTGTCTGATTATTTTAATCAAGATTATAGTTTGTTCGTTTCTTAAGAGTCTAGTTAATGTATCCTGAATTCAGATTATTTTTTTCTTGTGCAATCATTGGCATCTTCGACCATGCCACGATGCTTTAGATATGAATATTACCCACAAAATCAATTATAAACCTTGAGTAATCGTACGTTTCTCGATTGAAACAATTGATTTTATCTATTTTATCTATTGTTGATTAAACGGCCTTTAGTTAAATTTTCTAAATTCAATTATTAATTGAACAGTTTTTTATTCCTTTCGTTTATATCAATTGAACGTCTTTAATTAAATTTGTTGAAATCAGTCGTCAATTAAACGATTTCGATCGATTTTGTTCAAATGAATCGTCAATTAGTTAAATTGATATATATTCGTTTAATTGATTATTAAATTAAGAATAATTTAATTGATATTGTTACAACTCCGATCCAAAGGTGTCTCGTTTGTAGATGAGATGCGCGTTCCAGTTCTTTGTTCACGAGTATCGTTCACGTAGGTGTGGACGTTGAATTTCTTGGCGGATGCGTCGTTGACGAGCCTCCATTACGGCGATTTAATTGTCTCTTTTCAGCGACGACAAACGTCACGATTCGACAGATCGTCGACAGACGTCAGGAGTATGTTGCGCGGACGAACAAGCGCCGTCTGCTGATTGACGTTTCTTTTTTGCTTCGACTTGCCTCCTCGCTTTTACCCACGACCGTCTTCTCCTTCGAGTTTTACATTCATTTTACGCGCGAAACTTCCGCCACAGAAGATTGAGTCTTCCTGTCAATGTGTTCGTTCAATATTGATGGATATTGTCTTGCCTTTCAATACTCGTAGTGGCACATTCGATGTATTTTACGCTCAGCGTTACACGACTCTCCCCTTTTCCATCGATTCTGTTTGTCTCGCGCACTCTGAGACAATACTTCCTCCGGCATGCTCAAGGAGAAAGTACCAAAGCACCGAGACTGTTGCGTAATCCGCCATAAATGATATTGTCAAGACCAACTACTCAGTGCTCGTTCTCTACGCATCATATTATTTGCCAGTCTCCGACGTATGGCTGAGAGTGACGCATCGTACAGCAGTGGAGTGCGCGCCGTGCTCGACAGCAAGACGAAAGGGGAAATGGAAACGGGGCCTCCAGAAAAGTAGATACGATCTCCCGATCTTTTATTTCGTATGGGGCGATGGGCGCACGACGATGGGCGTCCATCGGAAGTTCCGTGTGCCACATACATAACACAGCTCGCGATCGTAAATAAAAATTTCACATGTCGGACGGAGTGTGCCCAATGACGCGGTAAAATCTCCCTCGGTGACGGAACGATCACTTGGCGAAATCGATAACGGAAGACCGGAGTATTATGTCAAATTAGTTTTACCAGTGCCGCAAACTTTCTACCATATTTTACAGGAGGTGGGGAGAAAAACAGGCGATTTTAAAAGCGACTACAAACAACGATAAAATCGTAACTATCTCGCGCAGGTTTGGACAATATGCGCTGTATACAAATAGTGATCAAAGAAACAATTAAATAACGAAAAAAACGGTCGAGTCAGCGCTTGTTTCCGTCTCTCAACTTGTTCTCCCTCTCTCTCTCTCTCTCACTCGCTCAACCATGGGCTTCTTCCTAATTGATTTCGAACGTAATGCTTGCCGATTCGCGCCATAGAACGTGGAGAAAAAGATACGGTACACATAATCAGATATATTTAGTTGCAAGTAGCATAGTTGCATCATCCTAGGTATCTTTGTACGATGATAAATGTGTACAGTTAATACTACTTAATTGCTCTGATGCATCTAACTACATAAATGTAGTTTCGCGTGATCTTGAGAGCCAATGATGAATCTTTTCTCCTATCATAAATTCGTGAAAAGCGAAAAATCTAACCTTGAAGATATGTGGGAAGATTCATGATTGCTTCCATGTACTGCAAAATTATTCACTTTTCATGACTTTATAATAAAGAGAAGAATTACATGATTGATAAGTAAAATCAAGTTCACGTGAAAAGAGTTATGATTAATGCCCTGGTTGTGGCAATCAAAAATCAGTTGGAATGATATTTACTATGGATACATTTTGGCTGGAGCAACTATGTATCATCACTGTAACTCAATTGCTCTGTGGTTGTAGCAACCACATAATTAGTTGTTCCATATTTTACTATCAATTTGTTCAGCACAATCAGATGTGTTATGGACCAACCATAAATCTGGTTTTTTCCTGTGAACAATTTTTATAAATAATGTGCACTCTGGAATCGCTGTAGTTCGCTCTCCTCTCTTTATCGCTTTCTCGTCTTTAATAGACCCACTTAGGTGGACAAGTCGCGCATGTTATGCGAATGACAACAACTGTGATAGGAATATGCGGAACAAACATCCCGTTGAGTTTGCGGCCTTCCCATTCGCGAGCTCGAGAATTTATCAAGTGTCAGTTTTGTTACTCATCGCGTATTTGAATCGTGAGTACGAGCCACCTCCCATACTGGATCCCACACCGGAGGACGTGTTCGCTCATTCCTGCCTCTCCTTCCTCCGTCTCTGGAAACGTCGAGATTAATAAAATCGTGACTCACACTCATCGACGCAATTCCTACTTTCGCGCAACGGCGACAATTATAGAAAGTTTCTTGCATGGATGCTGTGGAATAGGGAGAGACTACACGGCGAGGAAGGAAGGAAGGAAGGAAGGAAGGAAGAGAGAGAGGGAAGAGGGCAGGGAACGCTTAGTCCGCATTAACCGGCCGGAGGTGTAATCATCGCGATAAATTTTTTTCAGGCACGAAACGATACCTTCAGCTCCCGTCACGCCACTGTCGGCTGATCCTACCAGCCCCCTGTCCCCCACTTCGGCTTATTTCACGACGTCCGAGGGAAAGGCCAGGTTCCTCACAAGATACTCGCGGGACGTCACGGTGGAGGGATTAACACGTCAGGAGGATGCGCCGGCGGTTGTACCGACGAACAGCCTTGACCTTAGGCAAAAAAAGGTAAGACTAGTAGCCGTGCGGAGCAAGGAGGTATAATTAGACGCGTTATAGGACGCGTTCTATAATTAATTCCGCCGCGTCTACCCCCGACTAAATTTGATCGGCATGCAGCCCGCCGGGCCCCGGGTGATCGTGTAATAACGATCGCTCGCGGATAAGACGATAATAAATATCATTCCGTCTCTGTGGTACAATCGAGTCTTACGTAAAAATGTAATTACCGCTCTTCGGAATTCAGCGCTCTCGCGTATCTTGTTGTAGCTGGACTGTTACTTAATCAGTTTCCCACATGACTATTCATTATCTCGCTAATCAAATAGGGAAGAGTTGCCGGAACCGTATCGATCTCTTAAATCGCGCACGCGTATCTCATCATCAACTTCTTTATTATTATTGAATATGAATGACATTTAACGCGGTAAGTAAAGTGAGAAATAAATGTACAATGAAAGATATAAAGAAAACATTTTTAAATTATATCTTACTTTGCGTGTGTTACAAACATTTTAAAAAATCAGGTACAATTGGTGAGATACGGCAACTTTGCTTTGCTCTTCCTTAACGCCCTCGAAAGACTCGGATGCTATTTGAAGTATAGACGTTCCCTCGACGTCGTTGTATCGATTTGTCGCATGTACCGAAACGATACCTTTCAGGAGGAACTGATGATGCGGCTCGACAGGAAGCTGGTGGTGCTCAGGGCCGAGCAGGAGGCTGTCAGGGAAGAAGGTGAGGTAAATGAGGCTCTGGGTGCACGAGTCTCCGCGCGCGTTTCCGCAGTGGCTCGTCCGCCGGAAGCGTCAAAGTATCGACTTCACGTAGAGGAAGTCGGCAAGATTACGAGTCTCCTCCTCGGCCTGAGCGGCAGGTTGGCTCGCGCTGAGAACGCTCTTTATGGAATGCCGGCCGACCACGCGGAGAGAGTAAGTATTTATATATATAACCTCCTGTTTCCTTACTTGTCTGGCTCAATTGTTCTTCCGTGCATCTTAATGTGGTGAAATTCGTATGTTTCGTCAGCAAGAAATAGACGCGTGTGAATGCCTCAAATTATCTCTTCCGTACGAAATCTAATGTCATATGTTATTATATGAGTAATATACCATAAACTGAGAGAAATTATACGATAATAAATTAACAAACGAATATTTCCGATCAAATTCCGATCAATTTTTATATTCTGTCAGGATATCCGATTGAACTTAATCGGATACTTTCGATCATAATGGCATTTTATTGAATAAACTGGTGAAATAATTATAAACCGTATTAATAATTATATTTCTCATCAGATGTTTCCTGATCGGATATAAAAATTCATCGGTATTTTGATAGGAAATATTCATTTATTAATTTAATCGGATAATTTCTCTCAATGTAGTGATTAATATTATATGATTTAATGTTTAATTACCATCTTAGATTTTGTTAATATATTTTAATTGTTGTTAATTAATTTTGTTATGTTTATAAGATTAATATTGCGAAGCACGATTTTACATTATATAGATAAATTCGCATATATCTTTATTTTTATATTATAAATTAATAAACGTTTTCTTTTTCTTTCTTGGTTTGTGTATGTGTGTATGTAAATACACACGATTCTATATGAACTCATACCTTTCTTCTTTATCTTATTTGCAGAAAATCTTGGAGAGCAAACGGGACAAGCTAATGGATCAGCTAGAAGAAGCAAAGATTCTAAAGAGTAACATCGACAAGCGCAGCGTAAACGTGTCGGCGATCTTGGCGAAGTACCTGAATCAGGAGGAGTTTGCTGATTACCAACATTTTATCAACATGAAGGCGAAACTGATAATGGACGGTCGTGAGATACAGGACAAGGTGAAACTGGGCGAGGAGCAATTAGCCGCGTTGAAAGAGGCAATCGACTAGTCGTAACGATGGACTTACATGCTAAGTTATTATGAAATCGATTCGTGTATAACCGTGCATTTCCAAGCGTGAACAATGAAAAAATCTCGCATAACGAGTCCAACTCGGCTCGAAAGCGTAGGTTAATAGGGATGAAAAATTACGGGGACACACAAAAGTACACATTGTTCAAGCCTGGTCCAGCATTGAAAATCTCGGATTTCTGAGCAGCTGCAAATGGCAGATATCGCATTACAACAAAGTATTATGAACGTATGCTTACATTTTTTTTTTATACATATCTGTTGGGTTCTAGACAACTGTATTTTCGAAGAATTTTTTAATTTACTTTCTATTGCACGAAAATTACATTTAATTGAAAAAAATTACATTTTTAAGATCTAATTCGTTAGAATTTACTTAAGATATATTCCCTTTAAAAAAATTTATTTATAATATATAAATTTTCGTATTTTCGTAAACAAAATTTTAAAAATCGTTACTTGCAACAGTTAATTCTATTTTTAAGAAGCTATTTTTAAATCATTGCATAAATATTAAATAATTTGTTGCACGTAGAAGGTGACAAAACTCTCATCGCTATAGCATAAAATCATTCGCAGGTTGAACCCAATGTCCTCACGAGCTAAGTGTGATCCCGAAGCCTTAAGTGCCTAGTCTTTGTTAAGCTTACGTCGATTTTGTCGTGTTCTCCCCAGTGATCCATCAAGGTCGCAATATATCGCCGATATATCGTATGGCGTAAGGAATGAGAATATCACGAGGCACTACGATATCAGACGAGTAGAGATCAAGAATGTACCCGTTATCCGCTCCCGGATTTTGTTCTGAAAAGAAACCGAAATTACACGTTTTGTCGTCTCACAGAGATGTGTCTGTAAATACAAATTACCAAGTACGATACGTAGTCTTTAGAAAGTTTTGACAAGGCGGAACGTGCGCGTAACTAAAAGACGAGGACGATGAATTGTTATTCAGATTTCATGATGTTGCGTAAGGAGCAATACGGCTCTCATGTATTTGTATATATCTGTACTATTCTTCGTATGCCGACCAGCGTTTTTACTTTTCAAGTAAAACGATGCTCGGCAACTCGTCGAACGATAGTGAAGATATATACCGGCAAAGTCAAAATTGTAATATATTCATTAGCGAAGAAAAATGCATACCTTGTCTATTTCGAAAATCTATATCTTTGCGCGCGATTCCTATCCAGAAACGTACCCGATAACATCGTACAGTGTAACTCTGATGCAATGTCCGTCCACAATCGTACACGATTACGGACTCACTCGGAGGAGATGCGCGGTCTAATTAACAATTGCAAGTTACGAGTTCGAAGAGCTCCACGCGAAGAAAACGCGGAACGATGTCGCCGAGAGCTCGAAGATGCGCATTGCACTACTACTGGTTCGCATAATAATTTGTTGTTCGCGGCGCACGAATCACCGGATTCTCAGTCTAGAATTACTACGTGGTGCCTTCTTACATACGACATGTGATATGAGAGTAAGGGGAATTCACGTTCTCTGCGCGCGGCGCCTAAATAACCGAGCGTTGTGGGCAACCGTTGAAGTAACGCGTTGTATATGTATATAATAATAAGTAGGTTAAGCGCATACTACACTCACTCACACTCCTCTTCCAACACGCATCCATGCATACTTACATACTCACTCACATACGTACACACATATACATATATACACAAAGGGCCGATTGTTCCAACCTCTTGGTAAGCTACCTGACACTTAAATCATATGTCTGTCTTCGTTTTTTCTTTAAATTGGACAAAGATAGACATATGATTTAACTGTTGGATAGCTTACCACCAAGAGGTTGGAACGATCGGCGCATACACACGCATACGCGCACACGTGTACAACGAAGTACTATTTTTACGTATTATTCTAACCCCCGGGGGTCCTCGTGGGCCTCTATGACGCTTGTGATCTTATTTACTCTGTACGAGCCCACCAAGGACTCTCGAAAGTACCGCGAGATCGCGCGCGCGTCGTATTCGAGCCTCCATGGTGGCCCAGCGAGAAATTTTATGCCACGGTCATTTCGACACTAATTCTCATATTTCGTCCCAATGTTTCGCCGTCCCATTTCTACGTTCCCGTTTGTAACCTCATGCGTCTTCTCTGATATCGACTGCTCCCTCCCCGCTCGTCGCTACTCTACCGAGGGCGGAGAAGAGACTAACAAGCGAAATTGTTCATAAAGAGAAAGAGAGAGAGGTGATCCTCCGAATCTTTGGGCTCGGTAATGAAACACTTATCGTGGATCTAAGGATCTCGAGACGGAATCCATCCCAACCGCGCTTTCACGTGAGAGGACCGCGACTCGAAGAACATCCGATTTCGTTCATCGGTCTCGTGCGCGTTATAGAAAAGAAAAAAATATTAACGAATTTTCCCTACATTATATGGCTATGCGTCCACATAGCAAGCGCGCTTTGATCTCAAACGGTGTAATTCGGGTCGCGAATAACAAAAACGTGAGAAAGAGAAATAGCGTGTTACAAGCCGGGACTAGATTGCTACGATGAAAAAGTATCGCGTATGTGAAAGACTGAGTACAGGGCATAAAATTTTGCGGCATAATAGTCAGTTTCTGTTCCTCGTTTGTTTCTCGATGTCTGCGAATCGGCTGCGGCGGGTAGTGTATTAATCTTGCCGTTCAACCGGAAGTAGCAGCAGCAGCAGCCACTGTGTTGTAATGCGTTTACGAGCAGCGCTGTATCGTGCGGCGGCGGTGTCGAGTGCGATGCAAAATCGTATCTTCGTTGCCGCCTCGCCCGTTCGCCGCGGGTAAGACGCAGCTGTTGTACATAACAAATTAATCGAAACATGGTGCTCTGGATATCTATTTTTTACGAGAAGAAACGTTCCATTAATTCGTAAGCTATCATTACACCTAAGGACATTTAATATTTAACTTTCTCGCTGTGTACATAAATACCACGTATATAAGTTTTACGTGATGCGATGACAACATAATAATTACGCATACAATTTCGCGCGTCACCTATAAAAGCAACGACAATAGGTCGTTGTTAGTCTGATAATATTATCCCATGCAAATGTACTACAAGATCATTACGATAATTACATTTCTCAAACTCGCTTGCAATAAATAACACATTGGAATTTCAACGAGACGTGTTTTTTTCTACGGCAATAAACCTGTTCGTACTACCAGTGAACACGATATTTCAGACAGTAATCTTAATATTAATATAGGACAAGTATTACGATAGCCGTGAACTTAAGATGATGCTAAAGTGGATGACGAATTCCGATGAAAAAATATTTTCATCTAACTACAAGCAAAAAAATAACTTAGTAATATCAGCTAAACCGAGGTAGCTGATTTAAACTTAGTCAAAAGGCTAATCGTTTAGCTGTCACTGCTAAGAATTGGTTATGACAGCTAAAATGCATTCGCTATAAAATACAAATATATTAGGTGACAATAAAAATGCACATTATTTCAAATAACTAAAAAAACGGTAGTTATTCTTAAATTTCTTATCGTATATATTAAAGAAGTTTGTCGCACAGCTACAATCATTTGCTTCTAGCCATTTTTTTCTAGCAGCTAATATTTCTCGCTGTAGCATCTAAGTTTAAACAGCGAATAAATTTAGCTTCGGTAATATCGACATTAGCTGTCCCTATTTCAGTGACACATCTTATCTGCCATAGCTATTTTTTAGTTCTGGAAGCTAGTTTTTTTTTTTTGCGTGTGTACAGAGCTACAAATCATTCAAACTATAGATATTTACAACGATGGATTCTGCCAAACCATTGGTTTTCCACACAACGCATGCTGCTGCACAGTGAACGTAGGTACGAAAATAGATTGTATCATGAACATAAGAATACATGGACTGAGCGAATTGCCGCGAGGATGAAGCCCAAGGGGTGAGAAGAATGATTGTATGTATTGTAATGGAGTTAATATATCAAGATAGCGACGGTCGCTGTTTTTATACATTGACAATAAATACAAAACTCTTCTACCAACATGGCCTTGCCCCTTAAGTTTCAGAGCCTCTCGTCTATAATCGCGCTTTTCGCTTCGTCCATGTATTCTTACATCCATGATTGTATTTATTTGTTATAGATAATGTAGAAACTAATATTACCGACGGCCAGTAAAAAACTTCTCAATTCCGGGTATCTGTGTAGCGTAAAACGTTCATTAATCTTTGTACTTTCACCTCGTGAAGGTGCTCCGAGATCGGCGAACGGATTTGAATTTTACAGGCCTACGTCATCATTTGTCCGTGAATCATTTTCATTTGTCCACACCGCGGAGTAGAGTAATTCTCAAACAGAAAGATAAGAAATCGAGAATATTCTTATGTGGTCAACGTTTTTTATTTTGCGCATTCTAACGACTAAAATCGTTTGTCCAAGCATCACTTTTGCTTGTCCAAGCATCGTTTTAGTTTGTTAAAATATTTTGGCATAATTTTTAACAGTTTAACGTTATATAACGTTATATAACAGTTACATAGTTGAGTAGGAAATTATAACATTGATGTTATGTTACTGTTACTTTGTGTTTACTGGGATATTGATGGATGCTCCGCTTTATTTTCGCATATATTTTCACCATTCTACGTAGGTAGAAAGAAGTAAACTTTGCAGAAAGATTCGATTTCGTGGTAGTAATAGTGCATTATCGTTTTCGTCTCATATTTTTGGATGTGTCGCTTCATTTTCGCATGTAATTTCGCAATGCAAAATGGTTTTTATTTTGGTCCAATTAGCACGAAACAATAGTTTCGCAAAAGTATTCGGTATTACGTCAACAACATTTCCCAAAAAATTTTAATTTGTGTTAACTTGACCAAATTAAAAATTCTTTTGTATAGTAAAGATACATGCATAAATGAATTAGGGCATTCCTCTTTCAAGGATGAAAACGATGTGGAACTACTGCTATCGTGACACTGATTTCATTTTTCAATAATTATAGTTTACTAACTGCTCCAATTTATATGGTAAAATTACATGCGAAAATAAAGTATAATATTGGTCAGTGCGAAATAAAAAATATCTCAAATTACCGTTGTTAATTATATTAAAATTTCAAATAATAGGTAACGTATTCTTCAAAATATTATTCGCAAATTACAACACTCTTTTTTAAATACTTTTTCTTTGATGCACTCAATATACAAACGGTTTGAAGAATTCATCAGAAATGCAGCAAAAGCTTGTTTTAGAGAGAATGCGAATATTGGCAACGTGGCATTCACATTTATATAACGTCTATATGTAAGAAAATTGAAATTACAACGTAGCACACAAACTTGCATAACATCTGTGAAAGGATGATAGCAATATTATGTTAGCGCCGCCTATTTGACGATCGTCTTTATTCTATAAATATATATGTATATATAAATTCTATATCGTCGGTAAATGAAGATAATGTTTTCTACTTTTTAACGATCGCTCTACATTATCGACACTTATCAAGTTCATCGTTCGCTCCGGCATCCCCTTAAGGGGATGCCGGACATGAAAACTTTACTGACATAACATTGACTTTTTCTGAAAAGTTTACGTCTTGTTGCTTGCACAGAATTACAAACACTTTTACACAACAGAAGTGCATGCAAAAATTAATTGGAGCATTGCTCAATATGTGACGAAAACGAAAAAAATATATTTAAATTTCGAGCTGTCAGTGCAATATTTGTTTAATATAAACATTCTGCAGGTCGTAGATACCGAAACTGTGGATACTTCAATCAGGAAAATTTCAAAGATCACTATTACATTTTCAGAATTTAGTTTCGATGCCAAAAAGGATACGAAAAGTTTGTAGAAAAGTTTATGATTACATGCAATTAGGTTTTCTGACAACTATGATAAAGTAAAGCGAAAAATTAGTTTACGGATATTTTTCGAGATGGCACCATACTTTTATCGCACTTTTCACAACGTCCGAATATTCCGAGTATGTATTATATATATATATATATATAATAATGTATATTATATATATATATATATATATATATATATATATGTATATAATATATATATTATATATGTATATAGTTTCCCACGCAACTGTTTATCGCAACGATGATAATAACTGAACAAAAACAAAGAAATCGTAAAGAAATCGTCGTAACGACACGTCCGAGTTGCTTTCCTATGCGTAATAGCAATAATTAAATAATAACCGAGTAAATTAAATAATAATCGAATAAAGAAATAATAATATTCGAATATTAAATAGTAGTGATAATAATATCTGCTCGACAATCGTGTGATAATATTCGCGAGTGGATAATAACGGAATAACAATGATCGAATAATCGGTAATAACAATACCTAGGTAACGGCTGTAACAAAAACTCTAGGCTTCACAAAGGCTACGTGAACGGACTGTCGTAACGGCCGGCTCGTGC